GCGCGACCCAGGATCCGCTTCACGGAGGTCCTTGTAGGTCAGCCCGTCGGACCTCGGCGCGGAGGTACTCACGCGCCGGATGCGACGTTCGACCTCTCGCTCCGTGAAGGGATCCGTGAGAAACGCCAACTCACCATCTGTCAGAGGCTGGGCTGGTTCCACGGCGTTGGCGCCATCCAGCGGCAAGCCGCTGCGGTATAGTTCGGTGAAGTACTCATGGACCCGTTCTTTCTGCACTCTGCAGAATTCAGGGGGCCCATGAAGTACTTCCCGAACAGCCTTGCGTCGGTTGCCCCTGTATAGCGCCTGTATACGCGCCGCTTCGCGCACCCAGTTTGGGCGTCGTTCTCCTGAAATTCCCTGGCGATTGCCCTCCCTAGTGGCGCCGTCTCGCTTACCAGGCGCATGGCCAGCTCCTCAACGTCCAGCTCCTCTGCACACAAGTGTCACCAGCCGCAATCTTTTTATTAAAAATGAAGGTAAATTGTTGTTTTATTGTTTTAATATATATATATAGTTGGGATCGGGGGGAGCGCGCGATCCCAACTTACCGTATATTAACCCTCTATTAATTATTTAAAACACTAAAATTAACAATAATGCTCCCCCTTCGTTTTACAGGTTATGCGGCCTGGTGACTGTCAGCAGAGGCGTGTGTATGAACAAATATCAAGGTGAGTAATAAATTATTAATAAATTTGGCAGGCACCTATTGCAGGCACTGTGCAATAATTCCCTGTAAAATGATTTTTCAGAGATAGGCGAGCGGAAGGATTACTGCACAGGACAGGAGTTCTACAATTACACCTAACCTAAGCTGTCAAGGTGCTGCAGATGGAAATTGCTGCGGATATTAACAATAAAAATTAACCTGAGGTGGGTGGTTAGAGTAAAAAGCAATTTAACAATGTATAAAAATATTATCTCTTTGACCGTAAAATTGCTCTGCACACGGGTAAAATACGTAATAATGTGCAGAGCAATGTAACAAAGAATAAAATAAAATTTGTCAAAAGAAATAAAAAAGATTTAAAATTATATCCACCCACTCTCCCGCAGCTGCAGCACCAGGAACTGTATAAAAAGAGGGAAAAAAAAGGAAGGCACAGGTGTAACAATTACTATTTTTATTTATTCAAAGTTTTGTCCGTAACGGACAGAACTCCTGTCGACACACACAGATGACGCAGCACAATTTAGGAAGAACACAGATTTACACCCGGCAGGTGACACACACGAATAAAAATAAAAAATATAAAAATAAAATAATAAACGGACGCGCACAGTAATAAATAAATAAATAGATAAAAATAATATAAAAATAAAAACGCGCACACGTAACAATTAACCTGCCAGGTGTCTCACCACGCCTATCCGGAAAATCACTTTTCTTCGAAGAGACCGAGCAGCCTAATCCTGGAGCCGAAAAACAAAAACCAAAACTCACTTAATGAGAAACAAATGTCCTCCTTTCCTTGACAACGGACAAAACACCTCTCCCGGGCCTCCTGAGTGGTCGCACAACACGGAAAAAAGCGCACACGCGGAAAACTTCTTTTCGAGAAATCGCTTTTCTCGAAAATCGCTTTAGGCCCGGAAAGGCCTCACTGGCTATAAAACAGTTATATTAAACTGATTGTTGGAACTGTTTTTGAGGTAACTAATGCTGAGCCAAGCCCGGCGGCACTGCAAGACCGGGATGACCCGCGACGAAGCCGGAGCAAGCTCCGGGCGTCCGTCCAGTTCCAAAAATCAGTTTAATATTCTTAGACCGCTTTGCGGTCTGTATCAGATATTAAGCTGATAAGAACAGAGTAACGTTTTGTTTATTTACCAATTAATGTTCCCCGGAGGGACAAGCTCCCCGTGGTGGTATACAAGAATAGTGTATGGGCGGCAGCTGCCGCCCACGCTCACGCACAATATATTATAATAAAATTGGCCGGGGACAGAACCCCCCCGGCTAGGGGGCGCAAAGAAATTCCGTGAGAGGGGGCACATACTTACCGTTTCTAGTGAGAGGTAAGATGCACCCCCTCGTCACGGTTAAAGCGGTTGTGACTAAAATATCGCCCCAACTAACCGGCTGGGGCGATATTCACAATGTGCGCACATAAGTGTTTTTACTATACATATGTATAAGCTCCCGGGCCATACGCAGTACCTAAACTAATAAAAAGGACCCGGGAGCTACAACGCGGCTGATTTCCAATAAATTGGTTACTCTGTAGCATGCTTCAAACTATCAGAATATCGCATGCATAATAATCAAATAAATGAATAAATAAATAACCGCGGCATACACACTCGACTAAAATACAAAAGTAATACGCGACATTCACATTCGGATAAAATACAATAAAGAAGTTCGCGGCATTCACACTCGGGAACCCGCATAAAATAACATAAACGTCAAAAGAAATAAAATAAAAAAATAACAAAAAAACGCAGTCAATATAAAAATAAAACGAAATAAGTCATAAAGTAAAAATAAAAATAAAATTAAAAATGGCCCAATAATAACTTATGCGGAATGCACACTCGTAATAAATTAAGACGCAACAACGAAGAAATAAATAAATAAATATACAATAAAATAAAATAACGGGAGAGGAGGACCCTACGCCTGGCGCCCGCGATGCGCCAGGATCGCCATCTCCCGCTCCCCGTAACGACGGCGAATCGCTCGCGTATTGTCTCGGAGCGTTCCGCCGGGTGACCGAGCAGCCGCCGCTTTAGCTTAATATAAGCTATACTAAAGCTTTAGTTTAGTATAACTGTTTTATAGCCAGTGAGGCCTTTCCGGGCTTCGAAAAGCGATTTTTCGAGAAAATCGATTTCTCGAAAAAGAGTTTTCTCGCGTGTTATTCTTCGTGTTGTGCGACCACTCAGGAGGCCCGGGGGAGGTGTTTTTCCGTTGTCAAGGAGAGGAGGAAAGTCAATTTTAGGAAAAGTGAGTTTTTGTTTTTAGTTTTTGGCTCCAGGATTAGGCTGCTCGGTCTCATCGAAAAAGTGATATTCCGGGTAGGCGTGGTGAGACACCTGGCAGGATAATTGTTGCGTGTGTGCGCGTCTTTATTTTTATATTATTTTTGTCTATTTATTTATTTATTTATTTACAACAGTGCGCGTCCGTATTCTATTTTATTTATTTTTATATTTTTTATTTTTATTCGTGTGTCGCCTGCCAGGTGTAAATCTGTGTTCATCCAAATTGTGCTGCGTCATCGTCTTGACTGTGCTGCAGCTGCGAGAGAGTGGGTGGAAATAATTTTACATCTCATTTTTATTTCTGTGACAAACTTTTATTTTATTCTTTAATACATTGCTCAGCACACTATTATTTGTTTTACCCGTGTGCAGAGTAGTTTTACGGTCAAAGAGATAATATTTTTATACATTTATAAATTGTTTTTACTCCAACCACCCACCTCCTGTCATTTTCATTTATTTATTAATAATATTGTCACAGCAACTTCCATCTGCAGCACCTTGACAGGTTAGGTTAAGTGTAGTCGTAAAACTCCTGTCTTGTGCAGTAATCCTTCCGCTCGCCTATTTTTGAAAAATCATTTTACAGGGAATTATTGCACAGTGCCTGCAATAGGTGCCTGCCAAATTTATTACTAAATTATTACTCACCTTTGTATTTGTTCATACACACGCCTCTGCTGACAGTCACCAAGCCGCATAACCTGCAAAACGAAGGGGGAGCATTATTGTCAATTTTAGAATTTTAAATAATTAATAGAGGGTTAATATACGGTAAGTTGGGATCGCGCGCTCCCCCCGATCCCAACTATATATATATTAAAACAATAAAACAAAAATTTACCCTCATTATTAGCAAAAAGATTGCGGCTGGTGACACTCGTGCGCAGAGGCGTATCCGGCAGGCACTTCGGGGTTAGTGCGTACATCCCATCCGCGCATCCGCGTTCAATCGCCCGCACCTGTCAAAAATTATTATTTTTATATTTTTATTTATTTATTATATTTATTGTACTTGCCGTCTTTGTTGTTGTCCGTGCTATTCGTGTGACAGGTACGTTGTCGTCGCCTATCGAGGCGACGCAGAGCGGTAGAGCCCCGAATCACTCCTTAAGGCGAATCCGCACAGGCACTGTGCCAAGCGTTTGAAAAATGTCCCTAGAAGCCGAGCCTAGAGAAATTGTAATCGAGATCCCGCTTCCAGCGCGCGTGATTTGTCCTCGCTGCCACGGCAGCGACCCATTACGTCCGTCCGTGCGCGCTGGAACATTCGCGGACCCGCCTCACCTTGCAAAAGATCTTAAAAAAGACCACACGGGGGATAGTATTACATATAAATGTGGATTCTGCAGGTACAGGGAGAAAACGAGGTACCCGCAGAAAGATGTTAAATTACATTTTGAAAAGTTGCACCCCCAACCCCCGGGTGACGCGGAGGAGGGTCAAAATAGATTAGATAGCGAACCTGGAGCCGCGCCATCTTCCGCGTCGTCAGCGGCCCCGACCATCAATAAAAAGAATCCCCCCGCAAAAAATACTTCCAACAATCCGCGGCAACCCGGCTCACGTTACACCGACACCGCCACCAAGAGGGCCCGCCCAGCTTCGAGGACTCAACCCAGCGGGCCCTTTACATCAACACCACCAACAGGACCATCCCCCACATACGCAGCCGTCACAGCAGAAGAAGCGGCCATTTCAACCATGAGGCCGCCGAAAGCGACGGCTGCGGGGACGGTGCCCCAGCCGGGACCATCGAAGGGGGTCGTCCCGAAGAAGGCGTCGACGAGGAGAACAGCTGCCGCCAGGAGATAGTCGGTCGCGGATTTATCTACCCTCTCGAGTGGGGGTAGCAGTATTTTTAGGAAAGCCGGCACCTCGTTGCTCGCGCGCCGCCTTCCCCCCCCCCATCACCATCTTCCGCAGGATGTTACACAGCAAGGGGGGGAGGTACATCAAGAACATCCAGATCGCCCGCCGCCACACCATCACCCCAGGAGACCGGAGGAATGCGGCGGACTCACGGCGCGCCCAGCAGGAATTTCGGAGCTGCCAGACCGGTGCGTGCGCATCCCCGCTCCCCGAAGGACGGGACAGCGAGGACATCAGCGGGGGGCGTCGCCAGCAGGAGGCCGTCCACATACAAGTCACCCCTGCAGACCACCAGCGGGGGCCAGCGTACATCTTTGGAGAAGCGGACGGTCACAAACGCCCCGGTCGAGAAGAGCTCCGAGGCGACGAGGCGAAAATTCCCCCTGTCTCTGAGACGTGTGAGGCCCGGAGACGGAGACAGGGGGCCGGCGTCACGGGGGCTGCAGAGCGCCAAGGTATCATCCGAGAAGAGCTCTGCAGCTATGCCGGCCGGTACATCGTCCGGCAGTCCCGTGGCGTCGATACCGGCAGCAGCGGCGTCGCCACGTTGGGGAGAGGCCAGCAGCAGGGGGGTGACATTACCCCCCCTCGGAATACCTTCACCTCCTCCGGTACCAGCAGCGGGGGCACCGAGGGTCACGTCCAACATCCGAGTGACGGTGCCTCCCGCTCTGCTACAGCAGTACGTACCGACGACGTCGCTGCCCGCGACCGTCACCACCACCACGGTGACAACCACGACGTGTGGGAGCCCCATTATGACAACGGGTCTCCCACTGGGGGAGCGCAGGACACCGAGTCCCCCCCTGCCAGCGAGACGTCGGTCACCGCCGGTGGTGCAACAACGGACCGTCTGGTCGCCCGCACCCTGCAGCGAAGGATTCTCCCTCGTAATGGGAGAGGGTGCGTGGGGCCAGACAAGGAAGAAGAAAACTCCACCCCACGAACACCCCGGGGTGGAGCAGCAACAGCGGCAGCAGCAGCAGCAACAGCGGAGGTCGACGCCACCAGCGAGGGATAGTGAAGTAGCAGAGGTCCAAAGCGGTGGTGAGTGGACCGTGAGTCGCGGGCGAAGAGCGGGGAGAAGACACTTCGCCACACCCCCCGCGAACAATTCCCCTATTCTAGCGCCGGCGGAGTCCGGGTCGCGGGCGACGCGTACCCCGCCACCCGTAACGTCGGCGAACTATCCTCCCCTTCCGTTTCCCGGGAGGGAACGGGACATTAGTTCCCCATTAGTGGAGGCTCGGAGCGAGCCAGCCGGAAGCCCCGAGCGCTAGAAGGCTGAACCATGTCAACGTGCCCGCCGCCGGGGGCGTTCTCCCGTAAATTCAAATCCCACGACCCTAAGACGTGTCGAGCGGGATATAACAACGAGATCGCTTCGCAGCGGTGCGTCCGCCGATGCGCAGAGCCCGCGGCGTCCCGTCAACTATGCCCCCCCCAGACGTTTCCGCAGCGACCCGTGCAGCGTCCCGTTCCCGCTGAGAGGCGAGGCGGGCGCGCGCGGCTATTTGAAAGAGACGCGCTGTTTGGGCGTGCGGCGGGCATCGCCTCGGTTGCGGACCTGGATGACTTCGCGACTTGCGCCGCGAATTACTTCGGGAAGGATGCAACGGACGCTGGGCATCGACGCGGCGTATCCGCAAATCGTCCAGTGCGTGCGGGGTCGGAGCGACCGCGTCGAGGAGCTGGACATGCGCCTGGTGAGCTAGACGGCGCCAATAGGGAGAGCAATCGCCAGGGAATTTCAGGAGAAGGACGCGCGAACTGGGTGCGCAAAGCGGCGCGTATACAGGCGCTATGCAGGGGCAACCGACGCAAAGCTGTTCGGGAAGTACTTTGTCGGCCCCCTGAATTCTGCAAAGTGCAGAAGGAACGGGTCCATGAGTACTTCACCGACCTATACCGCGGCGGATTGCCGCTGGATGGCGCCGACGCCGTGAAACCAACCGAGCTTCTGACGGATGGTGAGTTGGCGTTCCTCACGGATCCCTTCACGGAACAAGAACGTCGCATTCGACGCGTGAGTAACTCCGCGCCGGGGCCCGACGGGCTGACCTACAAGGACCTCCGTGAAGCGAATCCTGGGTCGCGCCTTCTCACGGCGTTATTTACCATCTGCCTGCGCCTAGAGGTTGTTCCCGCGTCCTGGAAGAACTCCAACACAGTATTGGTGTACAAAAAAGGCGACCAGAATGATCTGGAAAATTGGCGCCTTCTCGCTATGGGCGATACTACGCCCAAGCTCTTCGCCGCAGTCGTAGCCGATCGTCTGACGGACTGGGCGATATTTCGTCAAAAGCTTAGCCCGGTACAGAAGGGTTTCCTGCGGGACGAGGGGTGCTACGAGCACAACTTCGTCCTGCAGGAAATCCTGACAGACGCGAGACGATCTCAAAAAGAATTGGTCGTGGCGTGGCTGGATCTATCCAATGCGTTTGGATCGGTCCCGCACGCGACGATCAGGGGAGCATTAGTTCGGTCCGGGGTGCCTGGGTCCTTCACAAACCTGTGGGGGTCCATGTACGCGGGATGCGCAACATGTGTGCGCACGTCCGACGGGTGGATGGCACCAATCCCCATCCGCTCTGGANTTAAACAGGGATGCCCACTAAGCCCAATAGTGTTCGATTTTGCGATTGACTCCGTGCTGCGCGCGACCACCGCAGAAAACATGGGTTACAACATCTTGGGGCAGCGGTGGTCCGCACTAGCGTACGCGGATGACATCGCACTAGTAGCGGATACTCCAAAGGGGTTGCGACGACTTCTCACCGTCGTGGAAACCGAGGCGCGGTCGGTAGGCCTGCGATTCAACCCCGCGAAGTGTGCAAGTTTGCACATCCGAGCGGGGCAATTGGATCGCGTCCTCCCGACCCGCTTCGAGATTCAGGGAGAGATGATGCAATGCCTGGCAGAAGGAGAAGGATATAGGCACCTCGGCATTCCGACGGGGTTTTTCGTTGATCAGAACACCTATTCTACGATCCAGGGCATGATGGAGGATTTACAGCGCGTCGAGCGCTTGTTGCTAGCCCCGTGGCAGCGAGTCGACATGGTGGCTACTTACATCCTGCCACGTCTCGACTTCTTGTTGCGGGGTGCTAAAGTGGAGAAGGGCCTCGTGAAGGTCGCGGACAAGCAGATAAGAAGGCTGGCCAAGTCGTGGCTCAACGTCCCTCAGCGCGCCAGCGCGGAGGTAGTCTACCTCCCTCCTAACAAGGGGGGATGTGGCCTGCTTCCGCTCGCTGACCTCGCCGACGTCCTGACAATAGCGCACGTCTTCCGTGTTCTCACGGCTGGCGACGCTGGAGTCAGAGACCTGGCGTGGGCGTCGATGAGGGGAGTGGTTCAGCGGCAAATTGGTTCAGTACCAACGGAGCAGGACATCGCTTCGTTTCTCTCGGGCTCGCTCGAGAGAAAGTTCCGCGACGGTGGAGAGCGCTCCCTTTGGTCGGATGCGCGAAACGCGTGTAGACGGCAGTCCTCCAGATTGCGGATCCGCTGGATGTTGGCGGAAGAGACGCGGGAGATTCTTCTGGTGTGTCGGGGCACGGGGGGTAACCTGGTGAAGATCCCACCAGAAGCGCGGGCGCAGGTCATCCATGCACTACGCCTGGCTATCGCGTCGTATTATACGAGCACATTGCTCGCCAAAAAGGATCAGGGGAAGTTGTTCGAGGTGGCCATGCGTCATGGAGTGAGCAATCACTTTATGCGCACTGGCAGCTTCACCCGCTTCGCCGACTCAACGGCGCACGTCGGTGAGGGGAGGGCGATGCGCGTTGTCGGCGGTGCGGAAAAAATGCCGAGACCCTTCCCCACGTGATCAATCATTGTGGGGTCCATTCCGACGCGATACAGCTCAGGCACGATGACCTGTTGCTACGATTAGCTAGGGCCATCCGACTGCCAGTTGAAGTCCGAACTAACTAGCGGGTCGAGGGGGTCGATCCCGAATTGGCAAGTCTTCGGCCCGACCTCGTGATTTGTTACGAACAGTCGCGGTCGATTATCATTGTTGACGTCACGGTGCCCTTCGAGAACCGTCGTGAGGCGTTCGATGAAGCAAGAGCGAGGAAGGTCACCAAGTACACTCCTCTTGCTGAGGCCCTCACGCGGGAAGGGTACCGTGTGGTAGTCACGCCGTTCGTGGTCGGCTCCCTCGGCTCATGGGACCGGAGGAATGAGGCGGTGTTGAAGCTGCTGCGTGTTTCCAACACGTACGCAGCGATGATGCGCCGTCTCATGGTCTCCGATACCATACGCTGGTCGCGGGACATTTACGTGGAGCACGTCTCCGGGGTGCGGCAGTACGCGGCGGCTGCTCGGTCACCCGGCGGAACGCTCCGAGACAATACGCGAGCGATTCGCCGTCGTTACGGGGAACGGGAGATGGCGATCCTGGCGCATCGCGGGCGCCAGATGTAGGGTCCTCCTCTCCCGAGAAATTTTTTATTGTTCATATTTATTTATTTGTTTGCGTGTTAATTTATTCCGAGTGTGTATGTCGCGGAAGTTATTATTGGGCCATTTTTAATTTTTATTTTCTTTTTATTGTTATTTTATGACTTATTTCTTTTTATTCTTTTTTGATGACTGCGTTTTTCATTATTTTTTATTTTTATATTGACGTTTATGTTAATTTTGTGCGGGCCCTCTAGTGTGAATGTCGCGAACTTCTTTATTGTATTTTATCCGAGTGTGAATGTCGCGTATTACTTTTGTATTTTAGTCGAGTGTGTGTGTCGCGCTTATTTATTTATTCATTTATCTTTTGAATTATTTATTATGCATGCGATTACTTTTCTTATAGTTCAATGTCAATGCATGCTACAGAGTAGCGATTATATTGGATTTGAACCGCGCTGCAGCTCCCAGGTTCTTGTCATAATTCTCTGCGTTTAAACCTGGGAGCCTATACATATGTATAAGCACTAAACTTAGCGCGCACATTGGGAATATCGCCCCAGCAGGTTAGCTGGGGCGATATTTTATCGCAATCACCCGAGCCGTGACGAGGGGGTGCATCTTTCCCTTCACTAGAGACGGTAAGTATGTGCCCCCTCTCACGGGATTATTTGCGCCTCCTAGCCGGGGGGGCCATGTCCCCGGCCAATTTTTATGAAAAAATATATTGCGCGCGAGCGTGGGCGGCAGCTGCCGCCCATACACTATTCTTGTATACCACCCCGGGGGAGCTTGTCCCCCCGGGGAACATTAATTGGTAAATAAACAAAACGTTACTCTGTTCTTATCAGCTTAATATCTGATACAAACCGCAAAGCGGTCTTAGAATATTAAACTGATTTTTGGAACTGGACGGACGCCCGGAGCTTGCTCCGGCTCCGTCGCGGGTCATCCCGGTCTTGCAGTGCCGCCGGGCTTGGCCCAGCATTAGTTAACGCAAAAACAGTTCTAAAAATCAGTTTAATAAAACTGTTTTAGAGCCAATAAGGCTTTTCCGGGCCTAGAGCGATTTTTCGATAAATCGCTTTTTTCGAAAAAGAGTTTTCCGCGTGTGCGTCTATTTCCCGTGTTGTGCGACCACTCAGGAGGCTTGGGGGAAGTGTTTTGTCCGTTGTCAAGGAGAGGAGGACATTTGTTTTTCATAAAGTGAGTTTTGGTTTTTGTTTTTCGGCTCCAGGATTAGGCTGCTCGGTCTCTTCGAAGAAAAGTGATTTTCCGGGTAGGCGTGGTGAGACACCTGGCAGGTTAATTGTTACGTGTGCGCGTTTTTATTTATATATTATTTTTATCTATTTATTTATTTATTACTGTGCGCGTCCGTTTATTATTTTATTTTTATATTTTTTATTTTTATTCGTGTGTGTCACCTGCCAGGTGTAAATCTGTGTTCTTCCTAAATTGTGCTGCGTCATCTGTGTGTGTCGACAGGAGTTCTGTCCGTTACGGACAAAACTATTTAAATAAAGAAAAATAAAACATTTAACACCTGCTTTTCCTTTTTACTTCCTTCCTCTGTACAGGTAGTGCTGCTGCTGTTCCTACAGGAGAGTGGGTGTTAATATATCTAATTTTTTTTTTTTTACTTCTTTGACGTAAATTTATTCTTTTATTCAATACATTGCTCTGCACACAACTATTTTTACCCGTGTGCAGAGCGGTTAAGGTCGGAGAGATACAAGTTTCTATTATTTTAATTATTTATATCGTTGTTTGTTCCTCAATCACCCATTTCCTGTCATAAAAATCTTTTTTAAGACTCTATATACAGCAATTTCCATCCGCAGCACCCTGACAGCTTAGGTTAGGTGTTGTGTAGAACTCCTGTCTTGTGCAGTAATCCTTTCGCTCGCCTATCTCTGAATAATCATTTTACAGGGAATTATTATTATTGTAATACACAGTGCCTGTAATAGGTGCCTGCTACACTAATTAATATATATTTTTGATACTTATCTTTATACTTGTTCACATACACGCCTCTGCTGACAGTCACCAGGCCGCATAACCTACAATACACAGGGGGAGCATTATTGACATTCTTAGGGCTTTAAATAATTAATTGCGGGTTAATATACGGTAAGTTGGGATCGCGCGCTCCCCCCGATCCCAACCATATACATATTATTATAAACAAATAATAAATTACCTTCAATATTAATAAAAAGATTGCGGCTGGTGACACTTGTGCGCAGAGGCGTATCCGGCAGGCACCTCGGGGTTAGTACGTCCATCCCATCCGCGTATCCGCGTCTCATCTTGCGGCCGCACCTGTCTACAGTATTATTATATTTCTTTTTTATTTATTTATTATATATTATTATTTTATACTTACCTCTGTTATTATCGGTTAGTTCCGTGTGACAAGTGCGTTGTCGTCGCCTGCCAAAGCGACGCATAGCAATAGAACCCCGAATCTCTCATTAAGGCGAATCCGCACAGGCACTTTGCCAAGCGTTCGAAAAATGTCCCTAGAGGCCAAGCCTAGGGAAATTGTAATAGAGATCCCGCTTCCCGCGCGCGTAATTTGTCCGCGCTGCCACGGCAGCGACCAATTACGTCCGTCCGTGCGCGCGGGAACATTCGCGGACCCGCCTCACTTCTCCAAACACCTTAAAAAAGATCACCCGGGGGATTCAATAGGATATAAATGTGGATTCTGCGGGTACAGGGGGAAAACGAGGTACCCGCAGAAAGACGTAAAATTACACATAGAAAAATTGCACCCCCAACCCTCGGTTGACGCGGAGGCGGGTCCAAGTAGATTAGATAGCGAACCTGGAGCCGCGCCATCTTCCGCGTCGTCAGCGGCCCCGACCACAAATAAAAATCCCCCCTCTAAACGTAATCCCTCCGTGAACCCGCGGCATTTTGGCGCACGCGCCACCACCACCGCCACCAAGAAGGCCCGCCCAGCTTCCAGGACACAACCCAGCGGGCCCTCTCGATCATCAACACCACCTACGACATCAGGAGCAACAGGACCATCCCCCACCTACGCAGCCGTCACAGCAGGAGAAGCGGCCGCCACCATCCTGAGACCGCCGAGAGCGACGGCTGCGGGGACGGTGCCCCAGCCGAAACCATCGAAGGGGGCCGTCCCGAAGAAGGCGTCGACGAGGAGAACAGCTGCCGTCAGGAGAGAGTCGGTCGCGGATTTATCTACCCCCTCGAGTGGGAGTAGCAGCATAAGAAAAGCCGGCACTTCGTCGCTTGCGCGCCGCCCTCTCCCCCCCATCACCATCTTCCGCAGGAAGCTACACAGCAAGGGGGGAGGTACATCGAGAACATCCAGATCGCCCGCCGCCACGCCATCACCCCAGGAGACCGGAGGAATGCGGCGGGCTCACGGCGCGCCCAGCAAGACTTCCGGAGCTGCAAGACCGGTGCGTGCGCACCCCCGCTCCCCGAAAGAGAGGACTGGAAGGACGTCAGCGGGAGGCGTCGCCAGCAGGAGGCCGTCCGCACAAAAATCACCCCCGTAGACCACTAGCGGGGGGCTGCGAGAATCATTGGAAAGGCGGACGGTCACAAACGCCCCGGTCGAGAAGAGCTCCGAAACGACGAGGCGAAAATTCCCCTTGTCTCTGAGGCGAGTGAGGCTCGGAGACGGAGACAAAGGGTCGTCGTCACGGGGGCTGCAGTGCGCCAAAGTTTCACCCGAGAAGAGCTCTGCAGCTATGCCGGCCCGTACATACAAGTCACCCCTGCAGACCACCAGCGGGGGCCAGCGTACATCTTTGGAGAAGCGGACGGTCACAAACGCCCCGGTCGAGAAGAGCTCCGAGGCGACGAGGCGAAAATTCCCCCTGTCTCTGAGGCGAGTGAGGCCCGGAGACGGAGACAGGGGGCCGGCGTCACGGGGGCTGCAGAACGCCAGAATTTCACCCGCGAAGAGCTCTGCAGCTATGCCGGCCNGTACATCGTCCGGCAGTCCCGTGGCGTCGATACCGGCAGCAGCGGCGTCGCCACGTTCGGGGGAGGCCAGCAGCAGGGGGGTGACATTACTCCCCCTCGGAATACCTTCACCTCCCCCGATACCAGCAGCAGGGGCACCGAGGATCGTCTCTGACGTAAGAGTGTCGGTGCCACCCGCACTATTACAGCAGTATGTGCCCACGACGTCGCTGCCCGCGACCGTCACCACCACCACGGTGACACCAACGACGTGTGGCAGCCCTATTATGGCCACGGGTCTCCCACTGGGGGGGCGCAGGACACTGAGTCCCCTCCTGCCAGCGAGACGTCAGTCACCGCCGGTGGTGCAACAACGGACCGTCTGGTCGCCCGCACCCTGCCGCGAGGGATTCTCCCTCTTAATGGGAGATGGTGCGTGGGGCCAGACGAGGAAGAGGAAGACTCCACCCCACGAACACCCCAAGGTGGAGCAGCAACAGCGGCAGCAGCAGCAGCAACAACAGCGAAGGTCGACGCCACCAGCAAGGGATTGTGGGGTACCAGAAGTCCAAAGCGGTGGTGAGTGGACCGTGAGTCGCGGGAGAAGAGCGGGAAGAAAACACTCCGCCACACCTCCCGCGAACAATTCCCCCACTTTAGCGCCGGCGGAGTCTGGGTCGCGGGCGACGCGTACCCCGCCACCCGTAACGTCGGCGAAATATCCCCCCCTTCCGTTGCCCGGGGGAGAACGGGACAATAGTCCCCTATTAGTGGAGGCTCGGAGCGAGTTAGCCGGGAGCCCCGAGCGCCGGAACGCTGAACCATGTCAGCGTGCCCGCCGCTGGGGGCGTTCTCTCGTAAAAACAAATCTTACGACCCAAGGGCGTGTCGAGCGGGATATAACAACGAGTTCGCTTTGCAGCGGTGCGTTCGCCGATGCGCAGAGCCCGCGGCGTCCCGTCAACAATACGCCCCCCCAGCCGTCTCCGCAGCGACCCGCGCCGCGTCCCGTTCCCGCTGAGAGGCAAGGCGAGCGCGCGCGCCTAGCCGAAATAGACGCGCTGGTTGGGCGTGCGGCGGGCGTCGCCTCGGTTGCGGACCTGGAGGACTTCGCGACGTAGGTCGCGAATTACTTCGGGAAGGATGCAACGGACGCTGGGCATCGACGCGGCGTATCCGCAAATTGTCCAGTGCGTGCGGGGTCGCAGCGACCGCGTCGAGGAGCTAGATATGCGCCNGAGGACTTTGCGGCGCAAGTCGCGAACTACTTCGGGAAAGATGCAACGGACGCTGGGCATCGACGCGGCGTATCCGCAAATTGTCCAGTGCGTGCGGGGTCGCAGCGACCGCGTCGAGGAGCTAGATATGCGCCTGGTGAGCGAGACGGCGCCAATAAGGAGGGCAATCGCCAGGGAATTTCGGGAGAAGAACGCGCAAACTGGGTGCGCGAAGTGGCGCCCTCAGATATTGGTTACATCCTTGAAGTCGACCTTCGAATATCCTCGCGAACTGTACGACGCACACGCTTACCTACCCTTTTGCCC